CAAGCATTTCCTACCCGCTGTTGATCTTCTACAAGATGCCTTGAGGATCATACGAAGATCCGACATGGAAAACATTGGTGCCTTGACAGATCTTCGGATTTATTTCAGTAACCAAGAGACCTCGTTGACTGACATACTTATCGAGGAGCTCCATGATCATCTTTATTTGAAGTCCCCTTATTGCCAAGACCGTTGGAAACCATATACTGGAGATTCGGCGAACATTAGCGCATCCGAAACAGGCAAGGTCTCGTTACCTAACACCTGGGGCAGGCCTTTGTATCGATTCTTGGACAATCTCGATACGACTTCGCCACTGGAAGACGATGCATCTCAAAACCCGGAGACCGACAGCTTTCACTACATCCACATGGTCATCGAGTCGTTGAATAAGCTGGGCCATTTAGATGTGGCGGTTGACCGCATGGAGCAGCGACTTCCCGTCGAGCTATTTGCCATTGTCGATAGAACCAACCAAGAGGTCGATCTGCGCCACCCAGCGCATAAGCGTGCGCCGCTTAACCCCGAGAAAAAACTTCTTGAATCCACATGGAATGATACGACTGGTGGGAGCGTTATACTCAATGACCTTTTGTGGACACTATTCTCCAAATTTGAAGCAATTGCTGAAGGACATCGGGCATTTCATGACGTTGTTGCAGGCATTGTGAAGCGGGAAAGACTAGGGCATCCCGAAAGTCTGACAAGGGGATTCAAAGAGATGTGGAAACTGTACCAAAGTGAGGTAGGACTTGTATCCCAGAAGAGAAAGCCTGTATCTCCGCTGATACACACAGATGCGATCATTGCTCCATGATTATTTGGCAACGGACGAAAATCCATCGTATAGGCTTGGTCGCCAGCCTGCCGCAGAAGCAAACATGTTCCACAAGAATCACCGAGAGAGAAACAAGGTACTCATCGTTCATCGGAATCCAAGGGTAGTGCTGACCAACTAAAGCGTGTCTTCAAATTGTCCGAGATAGATCAGAAGTCTGCGGATTTGGCCGCGGATCAACGAGATCTTGACCAAATACTCCAGGCTTCTGTACCCGGGCTAGTCTCTAAATCACAGAGGCGGTCTGGTGTTTTGCATAATAACACCAACGTCGCCACTGATGGTCCGGTTGCGAGTCACAAGCTGCTTGTGGATCCCAATGTCTTCAACATTAGCTCTCTTCTCCCGCCATCGTTGTCCTTCCTCCAGCGACTAAGAGATATCGTCCCTCATGACTCGGGTATCGCGATGAGCACACTGACTTCGTTCCTTGATGAGTTTCTCGTTAATGTGTTTCAACCTCAGCTCGAGGAGACTGTCACAGAGTCGTGTACTCAGTCGTTCGCTGAGCTTGATGCGTTTCAAAAAGATTCCCAATGGTCCCAGCACGCTGTTGTGCGGCCAATATTTAGAGCATGTCGCCAATAGCCTTCTTCTTCGATGACTTTGCTAACTTCTTCAGGGCACGTTTCATTTCTCCACGTTAATTAGATCTTTCTGCAAATTGCTCGATACTATACCCCCTGATTTGGCTTCTACGCAATTAATAATTACACAAATGGTTGCTTATTACGACAAATGCTGTGAATGCTACAGAGGTATGCAAACCCCTAGGTCTTGCGGATGTAAAGCTAAAAAGCTCTAGCTCTGGTCAGAAGGCCACAGCTACATGCACAGGATGAGGTGCGATTGAAGACCGCAGCCGCATTGGCAGACTCAGGAGACGTTCGGGAAGTTGCCGAGAAATTGTTGAAAGGCGTTGTCGAAGAAGAAGAACACGATCTTTTGCAGAAGGTATAGGCAGATCATCTTTGACAATCCATTCCGCTGACGGTCCCTAGGAGGCCAAATTGCTCATCACCAGGACCAATGAGGAGCCGCTAGATCCATTCGATATTATCTCCGATCGACGATCGGTCACAGCTCTCTGCTTAATGTACTCTAGCATGGTAAGCGTCTTTCTTTTTTTTAGAAACAAGCGTGGCTTCAGAAGCACACTACTGACTGACTCATTGCAGCAATGGCTTGTACTCCAGTTCCAGCAGCTTCGACGCATTATCCCGGAGTCTTCGCGATCACACCGCGACTCAACGAAGCCTCAGCACACACGACAATTGTCCCTTCTCAGTTCACCCCAGCGCGTCGACCCAAATACCCCTATATATCTCCCCATGACCCAGGAGACCGTCGAAGCTTTCGACAGCATCTTGGCCTCCATGCGTACGCTTGCTAGTACAGCCCTCTTGACCCTCCACATCGACATACGCCTAGGCGTAATCCACATGCTTACTCGGACACTTCATGCGCCTTACTTACTCGCCCAGCGAGCTCAGGATCCGGATCCTTCGATCCTCTCCCTCAACGCTGACCTTCTCTCGTTCGCCGACAATCTGACCACACATCTCGACACTCGAGCCCAACACTTCATCACCAATGGTCTTGCTTTGCTCATCGATACCTTACTTGTCTCCAACGCTTTCCAGATCACAGCAGGCATGAATGATCACGGATGCGGCAGGATGCATCTCAATATCTTGGTCCTTTCACAAAACCTAAAATCGATTGAGACGAGCAGCGATGACCATCGTAATGAGCTTGACCGCAGTGCGCGTTTCTATGATCTCTTCCTGGAGGGTGCAGACAGCATCGTGGAGCGAGCAAAGGACCGTGGCGGAGAGGGATTGGAAGGATTTGACCTTGAAGAATTGAAAGCGCTGGTGGAGCTGTGGTACAGAGATGGCATTGAGAGTGGAGCACGAGAGGTGCAAATCAAGAGTAAGAGGGAGTTGGGTGACAAGCTGTTGGTGCTCAGTGAATGTTTATGGAATAGGTAATCCGTCGAAAGAAGGATTCAAGGAATGCACGTATTCTCACAGCGCAACGCGTTTTTCGGCCGACGCTTTCGCCAACTTTTCCGCTGCCGTACCAATGCACTGACCACTTATTTACTGTACGAACGAAACTCATCACCATCAAACCGGCGCTCACCAAGCCAGATCCCACCGCGTCGGTACCAAATGTGCTTGTCGCGCCAATCCATCGCCAAAGCGATCTCCATCAAGCCGGCAGCAGGTCTCCAGACTACTACTCTTATCAAGCAGGTTCGAAATCGGGGCCCGAAGCCGCAGTCCGGGATATCTTCCCGCGGAATCGGAAACGGTTGTTCCTGTCACATGTGCAAGGGTGTTTTCTCATGGGTTGGAGTTCGATCGTCCCTGCACTTTCCGTTGGCCAACTTCTAGATCTTCTACTTGCGTATCTGTGGGCAATTGCGGCTCATGAGCGAAATACAGAGTGTCTACTAGGATTTCTATCCCAACACATACAGTTGGACCTATCTATCTATCTTTTGTCTCCCCACTACCACCCTCTCCCCGCCATCTTTTCGCCTTCTGCCATTCTCCCGACATTCAGGCCCACCATCGCCTCTCCCAGCCCTCCACTAACCTCAGCCAACACGGCCGGGTCCTTGAAGTGGGTCACCGCCTGCACGATAGCTTTCGCCCTCTTGGCCGCATTCCCACTCTTGAAGATCCCACTGCCTACAAAGACACCATCGCACCCGAGCTGCATCATCAACGCCGCATCCGCCGGCGTCGCCACACCGCCAGCCGCGAAATTGACCACCGGCAAGCGTCCCAACTGCGCCGTCTCCTTCAGAAGCCGAAAAGGCGCATTCAACTCCTTCGCATAACCCCTGAGCTCCATGTCGCTCATCCCCCTCGCCTTGTTGATCTCCGTCGTCACAGTCCGCATGTGCCTCACGGCCTCCACCACGTCCCCCGTCCCCGCTTCGCCCTTCGTCCTGATCATCGCCGCCCCCTCGTCGATCCTCCTCAGCGCCTCCCCCAGACCCCGACACCCGCACACAAACGGCGTCCTGAACGCGTGCTTCTCCACGTGGAAGGCATTGTCCGCCGGCGTCAGCACCTCGCTTTCGTCGATGTAGTCGACCCCCAGCTCCTGCAGGATCTGGCACTCGACGAAGTGGCCGATGCGGGCCTTGGCCATGACGGGGATGGTGACGGCGTCCATGATCTCGGTGACGAGCTGCGGGTCGGACATGCGGGCGACGCCGCCCTGGGCGCGGATGTCGGCGGGGACGCGCTCGAGGGCCATGACGGCGCAGGCGCCGGCTTCTTCGGCGATGCGGGCTTGGTCGGCGTTGACGACGTCCATGATGACGCCCCCTTTGAACATCTTTGCCAAGCCGTCTTTGACGGTGAAGTTTGGGGAGGTGTCTTGGGTGCTGGTGTGGGGCGAGGGAGCATTGTCTCGATTTGAGGTTGAGGCGGGTGTGGGGGCGTTGTCTTGGGTTGGGGTGGAGGTAGAGGGAGCGACGAGAGTGGAGGGGGAGTCATTGATGGCCATGTTGTGTGAGGTGGATGAGCTGTAGGAAAATGGGTTTGCTTGAAGAATGAATGCTTCAATTCTTGTTCAGAGTGATGAGCGCTGAAATGGAGATGTCTTGATAAAAAAGTCTTTGTGTGACTTGGGGAATCTTTGCCACACGGTTGGAAGAGGGTAGACTGTGGGAGATGCTGATGAAATGCCGGTATCTTAGCAGTCCAATGCAAAAGAATCGTTGAAAAGCTTGCCTCCAAATTGAATGCAGTAAGCAGATATGAAGAAGATATTCTACCAGATCTATGTGTCAGAGGAGAGGAAGCACAGAGTCGATGACCCTCTCAATCAAAACCAAAGCCCCCGAAAATCGGAGAAAATGTTTTCCTCGGAATGCGGCTAGCCTCGGCCCAGCGATAATCTTGCATTATCTTAGCGCCAATCCCATCATCCCCGACTCCCGAGCGCGCTAGTCAATGTCATCACCGCGTCGAGCTGAAGCTCCCTCACTGCCTACCTACCTTATCCCAGCACCAGTGCTCCAAACAGCGGCACCGATTGACCTCCGGACCCCATTCTCACCAACCATCCTCCCTCGAGCTCCCTCTTCACCGCCTCTCCAAATTCCCCACCTACCGAACCAAATCAAACCAACTCAATGGCATCATTCCTCCTCCCCCGATCCCGTCCCCTCTTCTCCCTCACCCTTGGCCTCGGCCTCTCCTCCCTCTACGCATCGCAGGCACTCTACCGGCAAAAGCCGCGCCTGTGCGAAGGCCCGGGCGCGACACCGTTGACGACGGTCTCGGAGAGCTTCAAGGCGTATTCCCGCGATGCGAAGGTGCCCGTGTTCAAAGATGGGAGGCCGAACCCACGGGCGTACAGGCAGATTAGTGCGGGAAGTATTGTTGGTATGTGAGAGCTTGTGTTTCGGATGTGGGGGGGGGGTAGTCGTTGGGATCGAGCAGGAGACGTCGTCGGGTCAGAGGAAACTTTGGGTGGGAGTATGGCTAATGCGCTGGTGATGATAGGTTTGCTGGGGGGCGTGGCTGTGAGTACGTTTTCGAAGACGTTGGCGATGCTGTTCGGGTTGCTGGTGTTCGGTGTGCAGGTATGTCGCTGGGCGCGCAAGGAAAAGAGACACGCAAGGCTGATATTTGCACAGTATATGGCGTCGCAAGGATATAACATCATACCGACAACGAAGCTACAACGATACGTGAAGGGAATAGATCTGAGATCAGCAGTAGAAGATAATGTGGCATTCAAGCTCAGCTTTGGGTTGACCTTTGCGTTGGCATCGCTGGCGTCATTTTGATATGTAAGATATAGTGGGCACAAGCATTGAATGAACTTTGGTATCTTGCGAAAGCGCCATCGCTATGCCTTTAACCCTCTTGCAGCAAAGCTTCTGCACAGTTGGAATAGAAATCATGATGCGTATGCAAACTCCGCTCCCCGACACGCTATCCAGAAGTCTTTGACCGCGGAATTAGTTGCTCTAGCTCCCCTCAGGCTAAACGATTTTCTTCAGCGTACATCTAGGCGAACCAGACGTGGGAATGCTTACTTGATGATCTTCTGTAGCCAGATTCGCTTTTCCGTCGATCCCACTTTTTGGCTTGGGAAATCCTCGCTGCTCAGCGCATTCGAAAGCCACATCTTTGCCTGCGGTTGTGCAAAGATCAGCTTTTTCAGTGGTTCGGCCAGAACGTCTAACTCGCTGCGTGCTGCTTCTCCGCCAATGTTTCGGACTAAAAGGTGGCACAGCTGCGGTCCGTACTGTTGCGTGACAGCTGCAGCGAACATGGCGACCTCTTCTGACACTTCGAAATTTTGGACGAAGGTGGCCTACATCCATCGTCAAACTAAATGACTTGGAGACAGGAGTGAATGCTCACCCAGAAGTGAGCCGCAGCCCGCTTGGGCATGATCTCTGCCGCTGTAAGGGCCTTGAGGGTGAAATCAAAGAGCCCCTGGATATTCTGCGTATTCATCATGCAATCAAGATGGTGCGGGACCATCTTGTCCGCTAGGTCGATCCCACTCGAAGCGACCTCTGGATCCGACGAAGGTTCACCTGGAATTTCACATCAGCGATGAGCGCCGTGAATGACACGTTCATTCGTATGCTTACCACCCATCAGATGGATTACACCGAGTAGGTATTCCAGGAATGCAGAAGCAGCACTCTTGACTGTGCTTTCTGGCTCGTGGACTTGCCTGCTGAGCATCGCACAAGCCGTGTCCAGGACATAGTCTAATCGTGCGGTATCCAGTTTGCTGGCGAGCACCAAGTCCACAGTCACTTTGGGTGGAAATACGAATAACCCAGGGGCACTCTCTTTGTAGCCAGACCTGAGTATCTGACAACTTGCTTCCACGACATCACTGTTCCATCTCATCAGGCCTGTTACTGTCTCCATTATTTGGACCACTTTCGCTTGTAGCGAAGCACCTGGACCTTTCGCCCAGTAGACCGACTGAGGGGCATCTCCGTCAAGATCGATAACGGCATTATCTGGTGCTCTTAGGGCTTTCCCCATGCTCGCCAAGCACTTCAAGGCACAAATCCCGCTAGCTTGGAATTCTTCAGCTTGAGAAGCCTCCATGAATTTGATGCAGTCGTTCACGTCCCTTTCGACGAATTCAACCAGCGTTGACAGTGACCCGTATTGATCCTCGTCCCTTGGAATCGCTTGAACGATTGCTGCGATTCCACCAATAACTTTTTCTTTCGTGTAGACCTCGGCAGTAGCCCATGTCAGGAGAACCTCGTATTGGTGCAGGAAGGCACCAAGCTCTGGTATCAAGACCTGGCGACATGACGAACAACTCGACAGGATAGCGTTTGCTGCAACGCTCGCCAATGCAGGGGCTTTCAAGGACTCGAAGAGGAAGTTCAACATAGCGGGTAGGTATTCGAAATGACGTTCAAAGAAGGCCGTGTACTTGGTGATCATGTTCACAGCCGTTTGCCTTGTCTTGGCCGGAATAGGCTCGACCGTACTGCTCATATCAGCGAAAAGTGAGGAGCCGAAAAGTCTGGATAGCATAGCATCGACCGAGTCTTCGTCCGAGGTCGAGCCTGAAAGTGCATTGAGGCAGAACAGCGTAGCTTCCAGATGGAGCCAAGCACGGTCCTCGAGTGATTGCAGAGCAAGCCGTGCAAGATTCTCGAAGACATCTACACCCAAGAGGGTGTAGGAGGACTGGAGTAGATCTTGAACGTCCGCTCGAAAGGCCTTGAAGCCGGCGCGAGCGTCGGAATCCCAAGAGGCTGCCACTTCGTGGGGAGGTATCCGGATCTTTACCCAAGAGGCTTCAATGACTTCTACAACGCGCTGCCGGGCACTGTCCATCCAGGCTGGCTTCTCTTCTCCAGCGGCAAAAAGCGAGTCAATGAGGAATTCTGTATAGGTCATCCAGAATTCAAGAGCTTGTGCGCATATCTCGTCTTCAGCCCCCGCATATCCCTCACACCTCAACAATTCTAGAAGCTGATGCACGATTTGGCTTAGCAAAGGGTCCTCTGACTTCGTCGCCAAATCTTGAACAGTTGCATCTCCGTACGCTAGCAAAAACCTGGCAAAAGATAATGCTTCGGGGTCGTAATCGCCTCCTTTGAGCCCCGAGACAATCTGTCGTGCCCGAGTAGACGCAAGTAATGTCGACAGGGACTCGAGATCACCAGCAGTAAGAAAGGCTGAAAAGTTAGTCAGAACATCGGTGAAGAGTTCGACGGTCACATCATATGAATTTTCATGATGTAAGGCCTGTATTGCCAAGGGCGTGAGTGATCTGAGTGGTGCTAGTTCCAAAGCTTTGTCGATCCATGCTCGGTGTGCATACATGACCCATGACTAGGAAGAGTCAGCAAGGCATGCATAGAGGGAAAGATGATACAAACTTGAAAGCATTTCACACTCTCTTCGGTGATTTTCACGTCTTGGCCTGGTGTGATGGTCATTGAACAGTTTAGTATAGCCACTGCATCTCCAATATTCGAAGAAACCCTCTCATGGTATTTGTGCCTACGAGGTTTCGGTCAGCATCAACGATGGGTCACGATGGAAAGTACGTAATAGTACGTCTGGATGCTGGTGGTATTCGTTTTGCCAACTTCTTCTACAAGACCCCCAGCAAACCACAGTGTGGCCATTAGACAAGGTAGGCTGAGCTTAGCGGCTACTGGGCCTGTCTCAGGCCCTTGACTAAGCGTATCGCTGGGAATGACATGTCCTTCATTGAAGCTTAGAACGAGGTGTCTAATACATTGCTTCCATCTACCCGCAGGCCGTAGATAGTAGGCTATCAGTGAGGAGCACAGCTTTCTGATAACCAGCTGGGATTCTCCGGCGTTGACGAGTCGAATGAGCCATTCTATGAGTCTGTCCAAGAGTAACGTTGCATCGGCGTCACTTAAGGAGTTCCTGATAGCGGATAAGCCTTCGTCCTGGGCATCTAAAACGTAGAAAACCCTTGCCAGTCCTGGTTGATCTTAATAGTAAATGTCAGGGCGCCAAAGAAGCGAACTTTCTCATCTTGGCTTTGAAGAAGCGCATCGGCGAATTGCCAGCCTTGTTGCGATCTTTGTAGCTTTTGCAGAGCATTTTGTATCCTCGAAATTTCCTGCGGCGAACCTGGTTGGTATAACTTCTGAACAAGCTGGTATATGAGAAAGCTATTAGCTTTCGTAAGATCTAAATGACAGGATCAGCACACCTTCTCTGCGTCTGCAAATGTATGGGGCTCGATCGATTGAGCCCCCCTCTCTCCATTCAGAGTCATGGCAACAGAGAAAGCAGAAGAGATGATATGGACAAATAGTTTCTTATCATTTGAAAAAGACCGCGCATACGCAGATCCTGTTGCACGAAGGAGCCAAGACCGCAACCTCTTGGAGTAGGAAAAGGCTGCTTGGGAAACACTTGATTGACAAAGGAGATGTAGAAACTTCGAGCGTTAGTATACCGACGAGGAGGCATTCGATATCCAGCATATTCTGTTAAACATTTGTAGGTCTTTGCCAGTGTAATGAATGGCAGTAAAGATGCTGATATAAACTAGACCTGATTTGGAAGGATGCACGCTAACCAACTTAAGATTAGTCTCCTCTTCCAATATTTTTCGCATGCCTTCCTTCACCTTCGCCCACCGACTATTACCTCAAGGCCCCGAACCGAAGACAACATCCAGGTACTCCAATTCGACTCAATGAAGCAGTATCTCCTCTCTCAAACGTTCCTCAAAAATAGTGGCCTTGCTTCAAATGTATCAGGAAGAACAAAACACGCTCGCTATGTTGTTGCAGCAACGTCGGCAACGACCGCCTTTAGTCTTTACAGCATGAAAGAGACATTTGTATGTTTAAGGATTAATACTTTATATCCTTAGTTCGAATTGTGCATTCTTGAGAGAGACCCACCAACTATCAGAATCTCCGGTCTGCTCTTTTCAGCTGCCCGATGAGGCCTTCTATGTCATTGGAAATCTGTGTTGCTTCTTCGACACAGCAGCTTTGGCCTTCTACGTGCTGTTGATTGGACACTATGCACCTCAACGTCATTCGAGATGTATCTACGTCTCCGTGGTATGTTCTTTACTATGTTGTATGAGTGGCTGTTGGAGGCTTCGCAGTACAATCATGTATGGCTGAGCTCATAACCACTTAGAGGCCTGGATAGTGCACAGTCTTGAAATGTGTGTTACGGATTCAATGGGGTGTTCGGGCGCCGCCAAAGTTTCGGTGCAGCCATACGACTGGCTTTGAAGAATGAGCTCATTTACAGTTGGCTGCCTTGACGCCTCTTAATTACGGAGTGGAGATGTGCACAGCCAGCACGCCTATTTCTGTACAGAAGAACGAAAGCAGTACGCCGTGTCAGCTCTGGCGATTCGAAGTCTGGACCGTTTGCACCTCAAACGTGCGCACGCTAAGCCAATGAAGTTCGTTGGCTGACAGATTGCCACCACAACGCGAACGCGTAACCAAAACAATCAACGGCATACTAGAGGTGGATTTATGACTGGCAGAAGATTGTAAAACAAAGCGTAGCCCTTGCGGGCAGGATGCGGGAACATCGCCGACGGCGTTGCACTGCCTTACATCGATTTACCCGGTATGATCAAGCATTGATATCCAGAGCGATGTATACAGCTTTGATTGCTAACGGTCAAGTGCAGACGCAAGGTTGTGGTATCATATTTGCAGAAGCGTCCTTGAGGCTACATTATTTTTACACAACGTGACACAGCAGCACCTGCCTCATGACCCAACCTCGTCAGTGAAAGATGGGGATATCCTTCGTCATATACAAGTGGTGTCTTCGGAATAGCAATCAAAACCCCCAGTGATACAGACTTTGATCAAAGCACATATTTTAATCTAGTTCAAGATGCTTCTAAGGAAGGCAAGGAGTCAACATGCATCCAGCCAACATAAGACGATGCTCACCGTGTCTAGCTACTCGTCGGTTCTTCCCTCCTGGCTCCCACTCTTTCTGGCCCTGCCCCTGCCCCTTCGAACTTGCAGTCTCTACTCATGGCCAAGGTGGACGATGGTGTCGTTGCCGTGACTTCCGTTAATGACCAAGACGGGCTTCCTATGCATAATCAAGCTCAGCGCCACAGCAGCCTTTCACGTATCGAGGCTTATCGCTATCACAATACAACGCGAACCACCGACCCAGGTGGAGGAAAGGTAACGAATAGCGGCATTGCCGTACCGTCTGTCAACAACCAGGACGGCATACTCATAGATTACTACACACAATACAACGGCAATGGCTCAACGGATGATGGCTGGCCTGCAAAGGACAAATGGATATCGTTCATGGATATGTGCGTTCTATGAAACCGTTCCATCACTCGTTGACGTTTTATTGAAAAACGTCCAGGTTCAACAACAGCAGATGGCACATGGAAAGGTCGTGCCACCAATTTAACGTCGACCTCAACACCCACCAGGAAATCATAGACATGTACGAAGCCATCCAGTTCGTCGCCGCTGCCACATTTGTCGACCACCGCTTCATCCTTGCGGTAATAATGCAAGAATCTGGCGGCTGTGTCCGCGCCCCTACATCCAATTACGGAGTCCCGAATCCGGGCATCATGCAAGACCATAACGGCACGGCCTCTTGTAACAACGGGAAGACGCAGAAACCCTGCCCGGGAGAGACGATTACGCAAATGGTTCAAGAGGGGACGGGCGGAACTACGTGGGGTGATGGACTGGCGCAGTGTCTGAACCAAGCTGGCACGTCAGATGTTTCTGCGTTTTACAGGGCGGCGAGGAAATATAATTCTGGGTCTATCGATGACTCAGGGGATCTGGGGAAAGGGATAGCGACGCATTGTTATGCTTCGGACATTGCGAATCGTCTTACGGGGTGGGTGCAGTATCCGAAAAACTGCACGCTTGACCGTTGAGGTTGTGCGAATTGTATGGGTACTTGTTTTGGAGCTTAGCTTTTGCGTGAACACTTGCTTGTTGAACCGGTTAGGCAGGATTTCGCATATACAAATTAGTATCTTGAGCAATGCCAAATCTTTGATATAATGTATAAGATTATTGAGACGCGCGGTTCACGTTGGCCTAATCAGGCTAGCCTGATGCTGATTTCCTCACACCTGTTTCCATCAAACAATTTTTTTTTTACACCGGTAATGCTCTTGTCTCGACTTCTACCTCGTCGACTCCTATCTAGCTCTTCATTGACTTGCCCGCCTAAGCTCCGTCTTTGGAGATCGTTCTCTAGTACAAGCGTTCTTGCCATCGACACCTTGGACATGGAGACTGTAAACACAACGGAGCGCCTGAAAGGCCTTCGACATCTTATGTCCGAGAATAAGATCGATGTATATAGTATGATCTGAAGAGTATTTTTTTCTTGGAAGAACTTGAATCTCATCTTTTTCAAGTTGTGCCCTCCGAAGATAGCCATCAGTCTGAATACATTGCACCTTGTGATGCCCGTCGAGGTCAGAATGATGATACACCGTGTTTGAATGTCTAGCTTATCTTGATAGCATACATATGCGGCTTCTCTGGTTCTGCGGGGACAGCTGTGATTACCCATGACAAAGCCGCCATGGCCACTGATGGACGATACTTCAACCAAGCTTCGAAACAGCTTGACTCCAATTGGGAGTTGTTGAAACAAGGTCTAGAGGAGGTTCCAACGTGGCAAGAGTGGTCAGATTGCCGGGACAATCTTCTTGACCCTTCGGAATTTTGACCTGCTACAGGACAGCCGACCAATCTGACGGCAACAAGACCGTAGGCGTAGACCCAACGGTAATCACAGCTCGTATGGAAATTCCCAAACGTGATGATGCAGACGGGCAACCTAACACCATGCAGCTGATGCCCGAAAGCTGGCAGAGAAGATCGAGAAGAAAGGCGGTGCTGGTCTTGTTGGAGTCAAGACGAATCTAGTCGACCATGTATGGGGCGACAGCCGCCCTCCGCGACCGAAGGAGAAGGTCAGGACACTGCCATTGGAATTTACAGGCAAGAATTTTGAGGAAAAGATTGAAGACCTCAGAAAAGAGCTCGAAAAGAAGAAGAGCGCTGGTCTCATTGTTTGTATGTGCTCGCGGTCAGATCGATGTCGTTGGCGAGATGGTACTAATAATGATTTCAGCTATGTTGGATGAAGTTGCATGGCTCTATAATCTTCGAGGAAATGAGTATGCCAATTGATCCAAGAGGCCACTTGAAGCGAGGATGCTGATTGAACTACAGCATTCCGTATAATCCGGTATTTTTCTCATACGCTATCATCACACCTGCGACTGCTACTCTCTACGTTGATTCCGAAAAATTCAACCCCAATGTAGAATCTCATCTTGGAGACAAAGTCCAAGTCAGACCCTACAATGCGATCTTGGAAGACACCAAGACGCTGAGTCTAAAGCCAGAGATAGAACAAAGTATGGAGACGAACATTGCGGAGAAGCAGTCTAAGGAGCCAAAACGGAAGTTCATGATCTCAACCAAAGCATCATGGGCTCTGAGTCTAGAGCTAGGCGGAGAAAACGAGGTGGAAGAACTGCGAAGTCTAGTAGGTGATGCCAAGGCGGTCAAGAACAAGACTGAGCTAGAAGGGATGCGAGCTTGTCATGTTCGAGACGGAGCAGCGTTGAGCGAGTACTTTGCATGGCTAGAAGAAGAACTGGTAGGAAAGGGGACAGAACTAGATGAGGTCCAGGCAGCCGACAAGCTTGAATCAATACGGGCGTAAGTCGTGAATTGTTCAATCGAAAAGGATGCTGTCTAATAAGAAATGCATCAGGACCAAGCGCAACTTCGCCGGCCTCTCCTTCGACACCATCTCCTCCACAGGCGCCAACGCAGCTGTCATCCACTACAAACCCGAACCGGGCAACTGCTCCGTCATCGACCCCAAGGCCGTCTACCTCTGCGATTCTGGCGCTCAGTACCTCGACGGCACGACCGACACAACGCGTACCTTGCATTTCGGCACCCCAACGGATATGGAACGGAAGTCATACACCTTGGTCCTGAAAGGCGTCATAGCTCTCGACACCGCCGTGTTCCCCAAAGGTACATCCGGCTTCGCGCTAGACACCCTCGCTCGCCAGTTCCTCTGGGGGGAGGGCCTCGACTACCGACACGGCACCGGTCACGGCGTTGGATCTTACCTCAATGTCCACGAAGGTCCCATCGGAGTCGGCACTCGCATTCAATACAGCGAAGTGCCCCTCTCGGCCGGCAACGTGCTGTCCGATGAGCCGGGCTACTACGAGGACGGCAACTTTGGCATCCGGATCGAAAACATCATCATGGCGAAGGAAGTGGAGACGAAGCATCATTTCGGAGATAAGCCGTATCTGGGATTCGAGCATGTGACCATGGTGCCGATGTGTCGGAGGTTGATCGATGTGGAGTTGCTGAGTGGGAAGGAGAGGGAGTGGATTGACGACTATCACAAAGAGGTTATGGGGAAGACGAAGGGGTTTTTCGAGGGGGACGAGAGGACGATGAAGTGGCTGGAGAGGGAGACTGCTGAGCTCTAGTAGGAGTTCTGAGTAGCCCTTTGCTCATTGACCAGACATGTCGGATTCTAGATACGTTTGAAATGTTATACAGGGGGTATCATAACGCTCTTCTCGGTCCTCCTCCCTCGAGATGGGTTTCAAACCACGAGATCCTCCAAAATAGCCTCCATCTCCTCCCTCCGCCACGGCACTCCCAGTAACTCCGCCCCTGACCCATCTCTTCTACTGACAACCATTTGATGATCGTAAAATTCCTTCAGCAACTGGCGAAACCCCATCTCATTGCTGCATATAAACTCCTCCACCACTTTCTGATACAGCACTTTATACTCCATTCCTCCTTCTCCTCCACCTTCCTCGTCCATCGCAGCCAAAAGCTCCGCAATGAGCACACGGTAAAGACTCCTCGCGTTCTCTGGTAACGAGCGGAGCACAAATCCCACACCTTCTTTGCCTTTGACGCTGCGCCCACTGCGGCCGAGAAGTTCATTCACGTCGTCGATGACGGAACCGATTTCAACGGGTGAGTAAGATTCAAAGGTTGTGGTATCGTGGAAAAGGAAGTTGTATTGATCACGCAGGTTGGTGTCCCACAGCAAAGGGAAGTTGGGCGTATCGCAGGTTGCTAGAAGGTGGATGTGTGGACTTGCAGCGAGTTGTGCTAGGAGAGATGGGGTTGGAGAACGTCGGAGAGGCGGCGCGTCGAGCGAATTGATGAATACAAAGTATGGAGAGGGCGGAGGAGAAGTATTGAGCTGCCTCAGAAGCGTGGTGAGAATTTCGCGGGGCTGCGTGCCGAGCTTTGAAGGTATAGTACTGGGTGTGCAGTCGAAGACGAGAGGGGCAAGGGTGCTCAGGACTTGCCTTAGGGTAAGAGTGGGCGTGTAGCCATTTACCATGAGGATTCTTGGCGGGTCCGAGCGAGATGTGGTGTGGAGGTATTTGGCGAAGGCCGTAACGAGCCTGCGTTTTGAGCCATAGCCGTAGAGGCAGATGTTGAAGGATTGAGAGAGCTCGAAGCGCCATTGGGGAAACGAGCGAGAATGCAAAGAATGCAGAAAGGCATAGGAGGAGGCGTGCGGATCTTCGTAGGCGTTGATTTGGTTGTGATACTCTTCGTGGGTGAGTAGAGAAAGTGACGACAATGTGTTATTCGAGGTCTTGATCTTTCCTGGCCGATGTTGCCAGAAGTATTGCTCGTGGGGTGGGAGGTTTTGAGGAGGTGTCGCAGACTTTTTCCGTCGACCACTTTTACGCTTCGAAGGGGTCGTGGGGACAGCATCATCTGCTCTTAGCTCACCATCTGCTTCTTCCTGCTGGTCCTCGCTTTCTGCCTCATCCGCATCCCATATCTTCCTAGCCAGAATGTCCTCCTCTTCAACGTCCTCCTCATCACTGAATCCATCAGTCGCTGTCCGTTCGACAATGGTTCTCACACTTTTCCTGCGAGCGGATCGATCTGCATTTCCGACTGCTGCAACTGCACCGTGTCCATTGGCACCTGAAGCAGCCTTGACGGGAGTCGAAACGAGATCGTTGCCCTTTGACTTTAAAGGAGTGCCCTGTTGAGATCTGGATGCTACACCATTGGGAAGAGCTTTCGCTTTCTGGGCGCTTCCAGGAGGTCTTCCGCGTCGAGCCTTGGTAGGTGTTCCCTCCGGCGAAGCTATATCCGATAGAGCGTCATCTCCGCTGTGATGTGGGTTCGCAAGCACGGCGTGACACGTCCTCTTCCGTGTTGAGAAGACTTCCTCCTGGTCCACAGCGTCCTCACCACCATGCCTCTTTCTCTTCCCTGCCATTGCTAGATCTCATCCATGCCGCCAAAGTCCCCGATCCTGGAATCAGTCGATAGTTGCCAGAATTCTGCAAGCTTCTGTAATGGTGGACAGGCTGTGTCGTCACAAAGTGCACAGAAGACTGACAGTAGCAACAAAAAAGCATTCGCGCCCCTCGCCCAGTCACATGTCTCGAGGCCCGACGCCAAGCCTGTCGGCGCATGCCAAGACCCCTGCGCCAAGAACAGGTACAGCCTTACAGGAAACGTGGAAGAGGACGCTAGAATCGGATCGGCCACAGCCGCTTTACGCATCCTCGACAATTTCGACCTCCAATCAACCAAATTTTCTCGCTGCTTCTAACATTCCTGGGCTATCATACTATTTCATTTCCATCCCCTAAGCTATTATACATGTTGGCATAGCCATAATAAGGTCTAGGCGAAGCTGGGGCCTGTCCGGCAAGATATGAGAGATCGCTCTTAATCATCATGAACAAGAAGATAAACAGCACGTCTTAAATGTCTTGAGGAGTGACAACGCTTCTCATCTTTCGGCCGACAACATTTCATTTTCTGTTTTCCCTCCGCCCCTCCGAAGGTGGTTAATGATATTAATATTGTCCATGAGATGAATTCAACAGTATCATGAGTGTCTGTGTTGCCCATAGATGGCTGTTGTATTCATTGGTGCGGGCTACCCATGAGTAATGCGCAACAGTAACGACGACCCGAAGGACTAGAATAGCAGTCACCTCGAGAAATATCGTAGTACGAGGATGCACCTTGTCTGGGGGTACAGTGACCGTAGGGGATCAGCCGGGCAGCTATCGATCGACGTATTTCTTGAGGAGAAAGCTGCACTGGGGTATCAATTCCCGCAAGGGACTGGATTAAGGACGGAAAACTGTACCACGAGGACGCCGGAACCGTACCCTTTAGAGGGTACAAAGTAATTGGCCGGGAAATTCTTCTAGGAGTGTTGTCGCTCTCTAAAAGCTCCTTAACGTACAGATCACAGTCTAATCAAAATGCGCTTCGAGGCTTGAAGACTTTGAAGTTCGATAATTGTAGGCTTAACAAGCTAATCTTGTTACGGGCTCGTTCGGTAATCTATATAGAAGATACTAATAATTTTCTGACTAAGCTCTGGGTTCTATGGCGCAATGTAAGTTGGTAACATTTCCTCTTTCGACAGCACGCTAATTAAAATTCTAGTGGTTAGCGCGTCGTGAGTAGAATTATCCAAAGTTCACTGTTCGAATCTGATCATCGAGATAGTGACTGTTACTACAATAAATCAGGAGGGTGAGTACCACGTTTCTGAATGGAATAATTGCACTATCCTAACATATAATTCTAGTTGTTAGTTCAATCCTAACTAGAACCGTTGAATTCTTTTTTCAACTTTTTTGTCTTTCTCTTTCTTTTCCCCAAAAAGTCAACCTTTTTGGGCCTTTGACTGGTTTGCGACGCACTGTAAGATCTTGGCACGTCGCGACTAAAGAGGTAGCTCGCTGCTTAATCAAGGCCTGGGCTTATTACTCAAAAGAAATTTGGTGAAGCAGGAATCGACAATCCTTTACAGATGTACTGTTGAGAGAAGCCGTTACTGTCGGCCCATCTATTGTTACTGTCGCATCGCGCGAAGGCTGGCATCATCGCACCACTTACAAGTACGTACTTTAGGCTTGGCATCGGAAGTTAGGTGATAACGGGTAAAGTGATTGGCGCGCCGAACGCTTCTAGCGCACCAGGAGGTACTTTAAAGGATGCTGTCTTCCCTCTCTCGCTGCGAGCAATCTTTCTCACTCGGAGCTCTTACATCATAAGCATCCTACAGGTTCTGAAAATTTGCGGGGAAGTGCGTTCTGCTGAGGGCAAAGCTTACATCAGACTTCAAGCAATCATTCCTTTCAAAAACAGGATGCCTAGTCAAGTGCATAAGTCCGTGAAAAATGTTTTTTCATCCTGAAGACAGACCAAACAATTGCTGTCGCGGGTGCGGGACAATTGGGGTAGATCGTCGAACTTGCACTCAATGTCGATGCACTCACTGCAAGTCTGATGAACACTCTTACATGGAATGCCCAAAAGTCAAGAGAAAGAACCAGTCAAGAACGTACAAGGCTACAGGCGTGCTAGCCGGAGAACCGCCGCTTATAAAAAGCGAAAAGCATGCGCGTTACAATCAGGAATGCGGACAAGGCGATCGATCTCCCAAGCGCACGAGACTCGAAAGTAGTACCGATCTTATCATGGCGACATCTCAAAGTTCAACAACCACTGAAAGCTTTTCAGATGTGTTTCCAGACCTAAACGACCTCTGCAAGCGAGTGATCGATGTAATGTGTTCTTTGGATGACAAACTGCTACAAGACTATGGCAGTTTTATCGATCAAAACTTTGTCAAGCATGAGCTTCCTGAAATCCTGTCGGAATATATTAACGTCGAGATCCAAAATTTGCAGGGCAAGTCTTTGACCGCTGAAGCAATGCAAGAAGTCAAATGTCGGCAAAGCTTGCGAAAGTGTATTTTCAATGGTGCAGGAGGCTACCAGGATTTCCTTACCGATGCTCGTGACCATGACTATCTTAATTTCTATGTTGGTCAATCCGTCGACGTAGCGGAACGTGTTCGTCAACACAGTTGAAACCTCTTCAGAGGAGAAGTGACCTATCTTCATCATTATATTTGTGCACTGGGCGGCGGAGACCAATATTTTAACTTCATTCGCCTATTTCGAAGTCCCAGTCTAGAGACCCTTGATTTACACCTTACAAGGGAACATCGCGCCATTCTAATGAATATACTTGAGTTAGCTATAGGTCTCGCGTTCCGATATTTACTGAACAATATTTACAATCAATTCTCGAAAATTCCCATGCCACCTGAACGGAATCATATGCACTTAAATGTTCTCAGCCTCCTCGAGCAAGGGCATGAGCAATCTCAGCACGCAAGAAGACAGGCCCGTGGACCAATTGGAGTTTTCGTCGGACCCCGAAATTCGAACTTGGCCCAGATTCCGTCAAGATATTTTGAGCAGACAGCCTAAGACCAAGAAAGGATCTCCCACCTTCGAGGAGCTCAGGGAAAAGGTTTCTAGCGTTATACACAAACCATTTCCCAAAATCTCGCCCACATCAATCCAGGATTTTGCATCAAGGCCCACGCAAATCCAAGCTGAAACGTTCAATATGGCTGCAGCACTCAGGAGGTCCTGCAAAGCGATTGGTGAAAAATGCGACCTGGATGTCACACTAGACCAACCCATTGGGAGTCTCCAAGGATCGCTTGCAGTCATATATGGTATATCGCGCGACTACGCTTACGATAATGGACAGCCACGTCAATGCAGAAAGCAATTACCACTCGACCTGTAAAAAGTCGGGTTGACAGCAGAAAACTCGCTTGTCTGGCCGCCAGACTTTGGAACATTGAAGAACATTGATTCAAGCAAATCGGGACAATCAAGCTCGATATGCGATAATCTCGATACTCTTTCAGTGGACATGCTAAATGCTAGTTCTGCGAAGGTTGTCATAGTCAGTGGCTAGCACGCCCAGCGATTTATTTCCGACTACGCTGAAAGCCTAAATCTCTCACAGCCCCAGCAGATGCAGCTCCAAAGTCAAGAGATTACTTTTCGCACTGAGGAGCTCAATGGCATCATGCAAAGGATATACATAGACGCCCCAGAATTAGAGACTGTGGTACATGGATATGGGTGGGTCCAAAGGAAAAGCATGAGTGGTGCTCTTAAGCTCGCTTCTCACTTCTGAGGCTCCATGGGTTTCGTTCACAGGTTCTATGAAATTGCCAAAGCCAAAGATGGAGTCTTCGAGGCGATCACGAAGGCAAGGAAAGGCGAAAATGTTTCGTTGGACTCACTGAGCGAGGCTGCTAGAGACTGGCTAGGCCGCAGGGGTTTCAAAACCACCGAGGACATGAATGAGCTTGTAACAATCGGCGGCGGATCTCTAGGCCAATCATTGCACATTCTTTACTGCGTACTAAGATTCGTTTGCTCAAAAATTCCTCAAAATCAACCTCTTGCTACTTGGAAACGGCCCAATATTACGTTCGGAGACGGTCCACTTTTTTCAAAGCGCATGCAATTGGCTATTGCGAATCTTTGGTATCGAAAGATAGGACAAGAGCAAGAGAAACTGCGTATTCAGATACAACGTCGTCGTACTTTTACGCCGGCTCTAGTCGGAGAAAAGCTAACGCAAGAGATTTTGGACGATATGGCGCTGCGTACAGTCACTAAGGAAGAAAACGAAAAGGAGATGGGGGATCTTTCTTCTGATACAGGGATGGATATGTACTTGGCTGAGTCTCAGAGCGCTCGGATTGCACGTTCTAACGAAATGACTTTCCCAGCAACAGAGAGTCAGCTCGCTCAGGTCGGGACCCATGTGCAAGATCAGCTCTTACGGAGGCAAATTAAGGCGCTCAAAGCCAAGCGACCGGACAGATTGCATCAAAACCTTGATGCTGTCGCTCATTTGAAAGCCCAAGGCCAGGCTTTCGAGACGATCTGCTCCCAATTCCCTGACTTCTCTGCTAACCAAGTGCGCCGTGCCAATGAATTCGGGAACAATATCGGGCGTCACAGGTAGTAAATGGAACCTCAAAGGTGAGGGCAGGGTCTTTGAAATGATACGGAATGGATGCGTCTTGCAGACAGAAAGTCTCAATCTTCTAGGCCAAAAAGTGGTGTGGAACTTCGGCGCCGCTCATGCCCAGCGCGGGATCGAACTTGGCCAAGTCCATCGTGTTTGGATACGATTTTTCAAACCTGGAGAGGCTCACCCGACCTCCTGGTATCGAGTTGCCTCGCGACCTGACTTGCGTACTTTCATCTTTAGGGCTGCGAGACTAGACGAAGATGTTCCGAGATCGATTTCTTTCTACTCAAAGGTTCAGGGATTCATGAAAACCGGAACCGAACACTCTCGTGAGGCATTGCGGATGAGAGAACAAGCTTCGGCGAGCGGGATCGTGTGCGCTTTTAACAACATGCGACGTGATGGATGAGCTGGCAATACATAAGCCCGGGCATTTCAGCTTGTGCAGGAACGCAATAGATGCTGACATCTCTCACAAAACACGGAATTGGTAGATAGAGTAGGCACCTTGAACCTAGCCACTCACCAGGCTTTCGTATGTTCCTTGAATTTAACGATCAATACTGATGAAATACCTTAATGTTTTGAAATCCTGATGTCCAGGGGTTTAAATTAAATTTCTTGACATTTCGTCAAGCGACGTCTTGCCTATTTAAGCGTTAAGATTAGCGCAGCCGCCTTGGTGAGTTCGGTAATTCACATAGATCTGCCAGAGCCAAGATCTCGTATAGGAAACGTGGAAGAGACGCTAGAACCGAATCGACCACAGCGGTCTTACGCACCTTTCAGAGATGGTGGAGAATAGAGGATTGCAAACATTCTTCGAACCAAATGGAGGTGTGGTGGCTCGGGTGGTGCCTTGTACAGTATCACTACCTACCTTACCCAGAGTATTGCCCCACGGCTAGGCCTTTTCGGGCTCAACTCAATGGCTTCACCGCTCTAGGGCTATTCAGCATCCCATCACGAGACCAAGACATTTCTTAACACTCTCCCCTATCCACTGACCGTCGAACGACAAAACCTACAGAGCCACGGCTTGCGTCTCAGACGCTCGTCTCCCATCAACAAGTAGTATGCCCAGAACGGTCTGGAAGCAAACGGACCCGCGCCTCAAAGATGACCCCCAGTGGAACAACCCCTCCTACCTCCGGGCCTGCGCGGAAGAAGCCCACTACGAGCCCCAACGCAACGCCTTCCACATCCCCCTCTACATCCACCCCGCTTCCCCCACCGACGCCGCCCGCCGCCTCGACTTCCGCGACCACTTCAACAGAAGCGTGGCTCGGCGACTCGATCAGCTGAGCCCGGACGACGGCCGCGCTTTCTGCTGGAAGGACTGCGCTATCTACGGCAACGGCGGGCTGACGGGAAAAGACCATGTCGCACTGCTGGATGACGTTTACCGGGAGTGGTTCCCGCACCGGGCGCAGGACAAGGACGTGAGTGAGGGCAGTTTCTTTGGGAAATTCATGCGCTTCACCCCCCCGGTGGGGACATTGCAGGAGATCGTGCGCTTCCACGCGGCGCTGTGTGAGAAGTTGTGCGAGCTGGAGAAGGAGATACCGGACACGAAACCGGTCGATCCGTGTGAAGTCCGGCCTGGCCAGGCTCGGTCAGTGGCGGAGTATAAGCTGAGGGAGACGTTTTCGATGGCCTTCATCGTGCTGGATACCGGGTGGCAGGAGCGCGGTGTTCTGCTTGCCTGGAGGAGCGAGGATCTTGCGTCGAGATACAGTTGCGAGGAAGGTGGGGAAATAACTGGATACGATGGCAGCGATGGCGGTGACTTGGGCCAAACGTGTGTGTTCCGGTGCCCACTCAAGCGCGCGATGCAACTTATCGTCTCGGCGGACCCAGAGAGGGCTAAGCGACGGGCAGAATACAACGAGATGTTGGAGGAGACACTTGGTGAAGACGATGACGACGACGACGACGACCAGGAGTAGCCTTTCAACCGAGGCTGCTACTTCTCTCCGAGCAGCCTTCAGTTCTAGATTTTATCCGTCGGCTGAGCTTCTATCGAGGTCGCATTTAGACCCCGATCCCAACTCCTCCGCACTGAGCCTCTACATCTTTTGCGAATACAGCGAAATTCAATATTCGATACGAGAACAATGTAGAAGAGGCGTGCAAGTAGATCCGCTAGTGGGTTCAACCATCTCAAAACACCACGCACAGCGATTCCGACACGAAATGGAAGACGCTCTCCTTCGCACCATCCTACCGCCCAATGCATACTCGGCTGGTTCCTCAAAATCAGTAGGTACTCTTACATCAACGCCTTTAGGGAGTCGCAGTCGGTTATCAGCGTCAGCGAAAATAAGCGATCTACCGTGTCATCTAATCTCAAATATTCCGTCTTTAGAATCTTGTTGGTGTTACAGTGTGTGACCGAGCTCCGCATTTTACATTCACGGCTTCTCAATATCACGATTAACGTTAGGATATAATCTACCCAAACGTAGCCCACATGGAATAGTATCTCGCATCACTACTCTGCACCGTCGTCGCACTAATACTGATGATCCCCTTGCCCTTGAGCGCGACCTTGTTGTCCGTCAAGAAATACTGGATCCCGTTGCCATTCGGGCTCCCCAGCAGCGCCCAGAAAGGGTTGGTGTCCTGGTCCGTATCCTCGGGCGTCCACGTCTGAGTGGAACTGATATCCTTGCCGGCGAAGGCGTCGTCGAGGATAGATTTGGTATCCGCGTTGTCGATCTCGCGACGCCAGAAGGACTTGATGCCCGAGTAGTCTGCTTGCGACGGGTTCTCCGCCCAGGCTGGGTTCTGCGTCAGCACGGTCTTGGTCCACATCCACCAGGCGACCGAGGAGAACTGCCAGGGCACGGGCTGGCGGCCGTTGGGGAAGGCCGGGTTGTACATAGGATCGTTCGGGTCCGAGGGCAGCGCGCCGCGGCTATTGGCGTTGGCCAGGAATACCCCCTGGGTGGCGCTGATGGTGTTTGAGAAGTCGGCGAAGGGCCCGTCGGCCGCGTTCTTAGGGCCCGTTGCAGTGATAGCGTAGTACTCCCGCCCGATGCCGTAGCCCTCGGCCTGTAGGGCGGGCTGGATACCCCTCGCGGGGAGCGCAAATTTGACGGGCAGGGTAACGTCGAAGTCGTCGTCAAAGTTACATTGGTAGACTGCATCATCGCCCGTCTTGTCTTGCCAGGCTTGGTAGTATCGAGCTCCGCTCGGCGCGTACTTGACCCATGCAGCGCCGTGGGGTGCGCGAGGATTCAGTGCTCGCACATCGAACAGTTGCTCGTCTACGGGTGATGGATCGTTGTCGGTTGTCGGCGAAGGATATCTGGCGACGCGGTTCTTCAGATCTCGCTTCGAATCGTCGTCCCGCTCAAGAAAAGGCTCGAGTCGTTCGGCAACGGCCCGTTTCTTACTGCTTGGACTGGGACAGTCGAATTTACAATCCATTTGGCGGTTGGGAAGCGGGTCGTCACCGAAAATTAGGGCTCCAAAGAAGTCGTTCGCATCGCCGTTATCCCAGGCTCCAACAGAGCATTGGGAGGAGGTAGAATCCCACGATTGCGAACCAATAGCGAAATCGACTGGACCTTTCTCGAACAATGGCCGAGGCTGTAGACCAGGGGCCAGTCTCTTTCCAAGAGATGCCCTGGTCAAGCGTCTGCTGTTGGGGAGGCCCGTCTGCGGAGTTACTTCCATTACGTATGGGAGCTTGCTGTCTACTCCAAATGCCTGAGCCCAGTTTAACTTGCTGGCGGCATAGCCAATGACGCTGCCCTTGGCATCGCTGATGTTGACGTCGATGACTACCTCAGGATCGCCTAGCTCCTGTCCGAGGCCTTGCCAGATGTGGACATTGCACTTTCCGGTCGCGTACGGGGGTGCTGGTGCAGCTGCCGGCGATGATGCTGGCAGTGGAGCAGCTGATAACGGCGGCGGCGGTATTGCTGGGTTGTAGGAGCTTGTTGGTTGGATGGTGTAGTCACAGTTCAAGAGTCCCGAGGATATAGGACTGAGGGTGGGAGCTGGTGTGCCACCGCAGTTGCAGTAGGCTGACGTACCACTAGTCGAGACAACCGCTGCACAGCCAGGGATACCACCTTGGCCAGGTATATTCGTTGGCGCAGCGCTGGTACTGACTGGCTGGATGGTCGACGCTGGCAGCGAAGCATATGCACAATTTGCTGTAGTAGCGCCAGACGTAGCCGACAGCGTTGGGTAGGTTGAACTCGGTCCACAGTCGCACCAACTTGTCGGGCTGTACCACGGAGCCCCATCTGCCATGCAAGTAGGGTTGGGCACAATCGACGTGAGTGGTGCACTCGAAGGGCTTGAAGAGCTAGCACTGGTAGCTGTAGATCCACGGGTGGTTCCAGAGCTGCCGGTGGCTGATGAAGAGCCCAATGCACCACCAATGACACCGCCAGGGGCAGCTATACCCGCTGTTCCAAGGGGCTCGTAATCGGGAGAGTCATCTCCGTCAACCACGTTGCCCCAGCCTGTCGGTTTTGTGCAGGAGGCTCCGGTAGCGGTCGAATATTCGGTTGTGCCTGTAGCACCGCACCCGGTGACAGTAGAGTAGCATGTAGTAGAGCAAGATTGGGATGAGGCGCTGGTTGGCATTGAACAGATGACCGAGCAATCTGAAGCGATAGTGCTTGCACTGCAGGATGAAAAGGATGCTGAGGAGCTTGAGAACTGCGAGGTGATTGTACTTGAGGGGTCCGAACTCTTTTGGGACTGGGATTTGTTGTCGTCATCATCATCGGGATCGCTGGGTTTCTCGGGGCTGTTAGGGCTATTGGGGTCATTGGGGTTAGTAGCAGAGCCAGCACCACCGACATCTCCTCCGCTAGGTGGTCCTGGCGGGCAGAAAGGCCAGATACAAGAGGGGCCGTGCAATCCCCAACCACCGGTGCCTCCATTCCACCTGTTCAGCATGATCAGTCTCGGTCTCATAAATGTCTCGCAAGAGGGTTTTCCTGGAGAGTGTTGCTTACCAGACACCACCTGGCCCAACAATTATGATTGCTGCAGAGATTGTAAATTGGCTACCGTCTTGATTGGTTTGCGCAATCGGTGTTGTTACTGTCGTCGGTGCTGTTACAGTGCTTAGATCTGCAAAGGTGGCCTTTGACCAATACTCTGTTACGCCTCCAGCGATAATGGTAGTCTCAGATAGGGCTGTATTACCGAAGGCGTCTGTTATTGAAGCCTGACCTGCATCAGCTGTGCCACTTGGGGAGGCACTTGCGGGGGTCGTGGTTGATGGAGTAGGGCTTGAGGCAGTTGAGCTCGGCGCACTGCTAGATAGTGTGCTGCCGGGCGGCCTTATTGAAGGGGCATTTGGGTTGAAGGGCAGCACTGTGGGCGGAGGGACTTCGGGAACTCCGGAAGGTAGACTGACGGGAATCCATCTAATGCCGCCCGGACCAATCAGTATTGTAACAGGGCTGCTTTGAGCATCCAAAGATGTAGTAGTTATCGTTGACGCCAGAGATGCGTAGCCTGAGAGAGTAGTCGGCACAAATGTTTCGGTAAGGACCGTCGAGCCAATTGTGGCGGTCACTACCGTTCCTCCTGGTGGCAATGGCACGCTTGAACTGGACGGCGGAGGAGCTCCTGGCAAGAGCGATGGAGGCGCCACATTAGGGACTCCTGGGCTTTGGTTGAAGGGTGTCCAAGCCACCCCAGATGGACCAACTGTAATCGTGATAGGACTGCTTGATGCGCCAAGGATCGTGGTTGTTATGGTGGTTGTGACTGTAGCAAACTGGGTGTAGGTGGTTGGCGCAAAGGTCTCGATTACCGTCTGCCCACTTATGGTGCTAGTGACCACAGTCGCCCCAGTTGGTAGAGATGAGGGAGGGTTTGAAGGAGCGGTCGTCGAAGGAACCGCGGAAGAAGGCCCGGAACCAGGAGAACCTGGACCTGGAGCTACGATGGCCGCAGTGGGACAGTTGTTTGCAGACGGCTGGGTAGTATACGAATTACATCCAATTGTCGGTGTGTTGGACAAAGTCTGAGGGAGAAGAGGCACGTTGGTCCCTCCACAGTCTACCCCGAAAATTTAAAACATGCGTGAAAGAGATCAAAGGGGGCGACATACTGCAATAATCATAGCTGCATGCCGCATCTGGTCCTGCAATGACATACGCACAGCCCTATTACTGTCAACAATAATCTCTCACCTTCAATATCAGCGTCAATACCGGAAGACCCCAGCACCCTGGTTTACATTGTTCAGCATTGCTCTCCTTTGGCTTAAGTAGGCAAGAGAGTCTTACCAGGAACATTAGCAACGCTGGTCGGTCCGCAAGCGCCTGCACTCGGGACTTGGCCGTAGACGTAGGAAATGGTGCTCAACAGCACCGAAGAGACTAAAGTCAAATGCTGCATGCTGAAGACCAATTGGGGGAATAACGGATTGAAATATGACCAGATTCGATGCAGCAGATACTGTATATATACAAAGTGAAAGAACCACTGCGGCGAAAAAATCCGCTACAAGAAAAATAAGATTGGCATGATGAATGAAGATTCAAAACGCACTGAATGTCAGACCAACAGTGGACACGCAGTACCCGTTCAGTGGTAAAGCATTCCGAATGTTGTGAAATATGGCACAGCATTGATTCTGAATCCGTGTCACCGAAATGAGCCACATGGTGGACCAGAGACGTGAAAGTAGGTGCCGCCACGTCCGAAGCGAGCAGGGGCCTCGGTATTAGACGTGTGACTGTGCGGTGTGATTCGGACGAGGGCCATTGGCAGTGTCATGCCATTGGGCCACAGTAGAAGCATCGACGACTCGCCGAGGCTCATTTTGTTGGCAATCCCTTCGGAGTGAGAGATTAGGAAACCAGGAATCCATGTTATTGGCATCCAATCTATATCAGAGAATAGGGATCGTAATATCACATCACGATATTCTCGTCTGATCGTTGGAGGGGGGGGGGGCCCTATGAAGAAGGAGCCACCTCAGCCTCCGCCTGAAACCCGCTCAGAGCCATTTCCGATGCCTTTTTCTGACACGTGAATGGACGAGGAACCCTTCATCTCAGACCTGCGCCTCCCCCGATGTCAGATCGCCAGCACCGAAATTGCAAGTAAGCAATCCTAAAATACAGAAGTGATTAGGGATGCCTAAGGACTGACATTTGACCACGATGACAGTCAGCTGACGGTCATAGGCTGACATCCCTTTGACATGACATATCAGACGCTAGCCTGATTAGATTAGATCTTGATCGGCACGAGGTTTAGCCGAACGCCGAATACCCTCACATTTCCCCCACAAAGCACTCGATATTCATTTACCACTCTTATTCTACATCACCACACAGTTAATAAAGACCTGCTATCAAGCATAGCTAGGCGCATGATACCTCTATTAGACACACTCATCCATAGTGCTTTCACACAGTTCATCGATCAATAGAAGAAGGAGAAGTGGGGATTGCACACCAAATGAGGGCCGAATTTGGGTGGAGGATCCCCGGACGATACTTTAGCTATTTCAACGAATTGAAACCGTCCGATGTTTGCCTGGGAGCCCAATTGACCAATCAAAATATAGCAATAATAGTGGTAGAAATTTATTAGTGCGGTCATTTGGCCACACATGACTGTCATTCTAGGGATAGCAATTGCGATCAGGGCAATATGGAAAGAAAATATCGAGAGTCAGTACGGAGGTTGCCACCGAAAGTCCTGAACATTAGGGTTAGGGCTTCAAAACCCTTGGCATTCTTAGCAAATATCTTGAATATCTTGAATATCAATGCTTTGTATAGTAGCGACATCAATGCTGTATATATGGAGTGCATGCATATGAAGTATATAGTAGCGATATTACTGCATGTATACGGGGTATGCAGTTGCGATATTACTGTGTGCACAGTAGCGATAGTAGCGTAATGCTGTGCATACTTACGCTGATAAGGGCATTATGAGAAATAGGGAATAGGGGGAGAATATGAAGCTTTTTAGTATATATTCAGTGTATATTCAGTGCAGTAAGTGGATATCTTCTTACTACTCTCCAATCTTGAATAATATCTAATGCTCAGAGTATCAAGACTATAGACACTCGCTTTGGCCGAAGCTGGAATTGGATGAAGCGACGTACGACTCGAAACGATGCACCTAAGACTCGAAAGGAGGCCGAAAAACGATGGGCCCATTGCTGAAAGCATGAATTGTTACAGAAGAGAATTTAGGAGTGGATAGAGCGTATGCCTAGATATATTGCCGAAGTTATTCGTTTACGAGGCGGTAACGAGTATCGGGAGGGCCGTGAAGGAGGGGATGAGCGGCCCTATGATTCAGCTGATCGAGCAAATCAGTACATACGTAATTATATAAAACATCGTATGTAGATTATGAAGCTATTCAAGAAATTTGTTAAAATGCTAGAAATGCCAAGAATACCAAGGGTTTTAGCGTATGTTCAGGACTTTCGGTAGCAACCTCCGTAGCTGTGGACTTTATGGCAAAGCGGGAAAGCGGCCCGCTAATTCCCCTGTACCGTAAGGTAAGGTAATCTTACTTAACAAGGACAGGTCTCGGCAGCGGAACAATGTGGAGCCGGTAAGGCAACTGCCAAATACTTTACCTTACTATATGTACTGTATTTGGCAAATAGTAGTACTGATAACGCTTTACCCGACTTAGAGCTCCCTTACGGGCGGGCCTGCAAAGGCGCACACCTTGCCCGAGCCAACGCCGCTGTCAACGACGCCTGTGGTTAAGTACACATTTGTGTGATCCATCTCATGATCTCGATGCGTAGAATCAAACTCGTTCAATGCTGCTAGGTATGCTTACAAGTACTTCCTTTGTCGATTTCCCGTGGCACAAAATCTCCACCACAGGCGTGTGAAACACGGGAACAGCCAAAACAGCAGATTGAAATCCAAGTCTCATCTTGATACTCTGAGCCGCTCCACTGACCGTCTCAATCCTCAACAGCCGCGGCTTGTACAAATATCCCGTCGCAGTAGAATAAGTTCGGAATAATATCGGGTCAACACGATATGACCTTTTCTCCTGAAAATGAAATCATGCATTTGTATGATAAAGGCGACATTCGTCCTCTACCGGGTGATATTAATCTGCCTTCCTTGTTTTGCTTCATTATATAATGTTTGGGAAATAAGCATTCAACATGAAAGTTCCCTCATTCACACACTCATTTGCCTTTCTCGCATTGTCGCTCATTACTTTCCAGCTCCCTTTCGTTGCGTCGATTGATTCGAATGGTACGTATGCCGTCCAGATCTGAGCTTTAGAGCATAGCATTTACTGACACATTGAAGCCGCTGCTCGTCTGCAACCTCGTCTTGATGACGGGGCTCCTGCCCAAGCCTTAGCTGCAAAACGCAGGAGGAAGTGCTCTCATTCTCGTATTTGTGACCTTGCCTCAGCCACCGGATCCGTGTATGGCTATCCTGGAAACAACGCCTCTACTTTAGCCTACCAGCTCCCCTATTCCCGAACTGCAAGCACCCTGCCCAGTCAAGGAAACCCAAATATACCCTCGCAGCAACCCGCGGGCCAAGGACCAACTTCTGGATCCCCATCAACTGGGAATGGCGCTCCTGGTGGTCTCGAAAACGGCAGTTCTGGCTCACCTGTAGCCGGAAGCGGTAACGCTGGGGGCTCGCCAGGGATCTGCCCATTGCAGTCAACAGTGACAATCACCACTCAGTACACTGTCACTGTGACACAAGCTGCGGCAGTAGCTACGACAGCTGGTCCAGCAGGCCTGTTGCAAAAGGGGTCGACTGTCAATGGCTCAACAGGTCCCGGCTGCCTGGCACAGAACGGGTCAGGCAACGGCTCGAATGGCTCTGCTAACCCATTGGGAAATGGCGTCTCTGCAAGCGGCTCAACTGGTCCTAAACGTACGAAGTGCAGCAAAGCAAATGCCTCTGGTACGCCCGTTGCTAGTGCATCTGCCGTTTTGGGAGGTCTCTACGGCAATGGCACGCTTCAAGGTTCAAAGTACCCCACTGCTGCGAACGCTTCTTCACCTTTGGGCTCAGGTACGAGCAGCAACCCTACTGTGTCCCTGCCTAGATCCAATACTATAGTAGAGACGAACGACACCACAGATGCCAATCTTCAGGGCGAGTTCTGGGCGGGAGGTTCGTACATTTCTGCGATTGTTTTTGATTTTTGATTTTTTTTCTTTCGCAATAACCGAGGCCTGAGTTACAAGACATGTTTTGGGAGCAAAAGTTCCTTTTTACCCTTGAAATCTGTTTAGCAATTAATGTTCTTGGATTGAAGAAGCAATGCTGACTCCAGATCCTGCGTAGGTACTATAGGTACTCTGATGCGAATGGAAGCTATCCCAGGCCGTGTCTTCTACGATTATGATGGCGTCACCGTCAAGGACCCCATCAAAACTCTTGCAGACTCAGGTTTCAATGCTATCCGGGTCGAGACCTCTCGTGACATGAGTCTAGGGCCTACCGTATTCACAAATAATGCATCAACTCGTGGTGAAGAGTTGCTTTTCCAGCTTGATTTTGGAGGTATCGATATTGCGGTCAAGACTGCGCAACGGGCTGCAGCTCTGGGCATGAGAATTCAGCTCACCATCAATCAGGGTTTCACAATACCTAAAGACCTCGAGTCTCTTGACTATGACGGTATGGTTGGCGCTGTTCAAGAAGAGGCAATACGCCAACTCCAGCCCTTTCTTGATGCCAAAATTGTACCTGATATCATCCTCTTCGAGAATGAAGGTTCTGATGGCTTCCTCTTTACTGAGGAGTCTACCGGCCATGTTCGCGGTACTAATGACGGCAAAGCCAGCGCGGCCAAAGTAGACCTTGAGATGTGCGGCAAGATTCCTACCGGCAACATGGCTTCCTACCCGCAATACGCGGGCTACCTCAAGGCCGAAGTCATAGCCTGCAACGAGGCCATCACGGCGTCAGGCTTTTCCACGGCCACAACCCGTTATGGTCTTCACTCTCATGTCCAATATGTCCAGTGGAAGGAAGCTTGTGTACATGGTCCGAATCCATTAAGCCAGACTGAGCTGAAAGACTCCTCGGGTGCGACCTGCAGCAATTCTGTCATTCCTCGAAGCATCCTCTCTCCAAATGCCTCGGAGATGCTTACCATCATGGGTTTCTCTTCATATCCAGACCCAATGACACCATCCGACATCGACTCCGAACCCAGCATGGCCGATACCTTGACCCGACTGACCAAAACTCTCACTCAGTTGCAGGGTTACGCTGAAGCCTACGGCACATACACTGACGGTCCATGGGCGGGCCAGTACAAATTACAAGGTCTGGGCGTTGAATATGCTACTAGCTTTACGTATCAACAGATTCCCCAGGAGCAGTCTCTTACGGAGTTGATGTGGAAGACAGTGAAGCCTTTCTCCGCTTTTATGGGAATGTTGTGGTATGAGCCATGGTACTGTTATTCTGATTGGGAAGGCGGACGTGGCACACTCTGTCATACACTGGATGGGAATAGCGAGGCACCGACGAATACCATGAAGACGTTTGGAGCAGCTGCTATCTCGCCTTGGAAGAAGTGAACGGGGCCTTTTTGCAGTACAAAAGGCGAAGCCGTTTGGCAACGGTGATTTGGTGTGGCGTGAGCCGGCCTCGAATATACACATTTTATCTTCTAACAATGTACTTACTCTTCTCGTTCATAGGCAGATATCTACAGCTCTATACATTCTTAGTATCGAGACTTGAATTGAACAATCAAGTATTGCTCAATTAATAGCAACTGGGGAATGGTCGACTTCTGTCGACGATGCTTCATATGCGCCCAAACGCCCTGCTCCACGTGTTCTTTATCTACATCTCTCCCTGCCTTCTGCCTTCAGATTCCAAATGGTTGGCAATGCTACCTCGGCTTCGCCACGGGCTGCCAAGCGTGCGTTTTTGGCTTCACCCTACGCACACAAAAAGTCAGCACTCGAATTCATCATGTGTAGCTGCCAGCCTTGACATCCTCTAAGCTGGATGCGCTGTCACAGCCCAATCGATATCTCGATCCTCCTCTTCAATCGCCGTACCCTCTCCACACTCCTCACAACCCTTCATGAATAAAGAAGACTAACGTTGAATAAGTCTTATACGCCGCCCTGCTGGCCGTCAGATTTGGCCTATGCTCCGGAATCTCCCAACTCCTCTGCCCTGTCTTCAGCACGGCATCCTCAGTCGGTGGCTTGTCGACCAAATACGACATCCACGCGTGCCATCCTGGCTCAATCTGTGCGGGGTCGTATTCTTTTTGTTTGTAATCTACCCATCTTGTTCGTACTGGTTGCTACAGTCAGCGAGGGTGCAATCGGGTGCTGTGGTGAGTCGAGGGAGGGACTGACGAGGTAGCTCTTGTTCTTGGTTCTCGTAGTATTTGTTGCCGTATTTGTCCGTTGCGATGTAGGTGCCAGCTTTGGTATCGCCAATGTATTGCATTTGATGGGCGTATTCTTTTATGCCGACTTTGCGGAGATTCCGCAGGGTGCGCATGATTGTCGACATTGTGAGTCGTGAGAATGGGTAAGGCCCATGGAGCTTGAGCAAAATAATGGGTTGAGAGCGAACGAATGAATGGAAGGAAGCCAATGCCCTTAGCGTTTGGCCGGATTAGGCGCACGCACGGATATAGCCGGGGAGCGGCGATAATGAGTGATTAATCCTTTGGTGAGACGTTTCCTGTCAAAAACGCGACACTCTCAATTCTTTTGTACGGTATCTACAACTCACAAAAGACTCTAGTATCTCGAGCAATTTTACTTCTATATGACAATCTAGGCTGTTTACTTTCAATCGATCGCTGATCTCCATCAACTGTCCATTGGGGGAGAAGATATGCAGTTCTACAATAGAGCTCTGGGGTTCGCGAAAGAAGCAATTGCGGGACCTCTGGAACGGCGACAAGACAGAAGTAACAGTGAGTTGATCCCATTGAGCTTTTTTGTCTCAACACTGGGAGCCCCTTAAGCTTCTTGATAATTGGCTAATCAGTCATCTTTCCGAATCACAGCGGCATCTTCCATATCTTCTTCCTCCACTTCGCCTGCTTCAACCGCAGCAGCAGCAGCCTCTGCCTCCTCTACACTCTCTTCTAGTTCTTCAGATACGGTTGCGGCCGCACCTTCGGCCACTGGTGGACCTGTTACGGTAACGGAATTTCGCAACATTCCAGCCTTCACCAAGACCGAATCAACAGCATACACAGCCCATGGTATTTAGTCTCTCTCAAGAAGTGCAGAAATGCAAGCTTGCTCATCCCCACTCTCCAGGTGTGAACGCTACACATATCACAGTTTCGCATAGCGAGACGCAAACTTCTACTTTCACTGCTTCTGCCTGTGAGTCTAGCTTTCCCTAAATCCTTCCTGATTGACCAAAATCCGGCTTGCAAAAGCTGTCCTCGGATCATTCTTTCCCCCCAATTCCCTGAAAGTTTCCCGTTACTCTGTTTTGAAGTGGATATACTGACGCCAAACTTAAAGACCTTGCCACGGCCAATGCTACTGCTCCCGGAATCCCGCAAAACGACTTGACAGCTTGCAGGATCAATGGTACTGAGCCTGATAATGGACCGTTTTGCTCTCCCATTCACGGTCAAAACCTGTTCACCGGGTACACATACGGAGGCAGGTGGGAAATACTCGTCAACATTGCAGAAGCTTATGGTTTCTAGTTACATGGAACCCAACACTTTTCCCAGACAATGCCACGACGACAGTCGAGTTGACCTATATTACAGCCGATCAACAGGTCGCGTGGTATTCCCCCGACGTGGCGAATGTACGAGGCTATGTCAACGTGTATATGGACAAAGATTGGCTACTAGAGGCTTCTGGCAATGACACCTCATTAGGTATGTACATATATGGAGCAAATGATTCCTATCTTATCCATTTCCTGGGTCAAAAGAAATGGTCTGGGACCAAAGGGCTCTTGATATTTCCCGGCTATTATCGCTCTTCCCTTTGCCTTTGAGATGGAACGCTGACTCTGAAATAGGCCAGAACCTCACCTTTTCTTTGATCTCGTACGTTTGTTTGCTCCTGAGACATGTTCTGAGACTGGAAAGCCTTCCTGAATAGGTAATGCTGACTGAGGAATCTCTGTCTAGCACACCTGCTGGAGGTCAAAACATCTCAAAATTGGGTCCTATGATCAGCTTGGTATAGCTTATTTCCCTTTTACATTGCCCTAGTATTCAATCCTTCATGAGTGGCAAGACATTTTCCGGCAGGCTACCTCTGTTTTGCCTTCAACACTCCAAACCCTTTCTTTTAGTTCCCTTAGAACCCTGATGGAGAAATGCTGACTCCGAGATGACTGATAGACTGTTGATCCCAAAACTCTCCCGCGAGTATTGATTCCAAAGATAGACTCTATATATGGTCTGGAAATAGGATTGCCAGTCGCGTAGGACTTCCCTATCCCCAAGCTTCCTCATTTGGACGTCTTTCGGAGCCCCGAGACATGTTTCGGGACTTTTGTACTCGAGACACTTGTTATATGAAATCCAATGCTTCCCCGAAACGAGTGTTTGCTGACTGGAGCGCCATCAGAATCGTTGCTGTGATCCTCATCATTCTCGGTATTTGGTGTGGAATGAGGAAGCATGCGTGGAGCGACGTCAGAGGCCACTCGAGAGACTACATGGCGAGAAGAGCTCGTAGGAGAGGGAGACTAGAAAAGGATGGTGCCATCCAACTTGACGAGTACGACCGCAGTGGCCAGGACGCCTTCTCGGATGAAGTTAGCTCCCACAGTCCAAAAACATGAGATGACAGATGCTGACACGAATTCTAGCCCTACCAAGGAGGGAGCAATAATGCCTTCCAGGAGGAAATTAGACGCCAGCGCTTCGAAGACGACAATTTAAAGAGAACAATCTCTTCATTCTAGTTTACTCAGTCATATTCAAATCTGCGTTGTCCGCTGCACTTGGCTACCTGACAAATTTGACTTGAGGTCACGTTCGTTTGTCAATGGTCAAAACTTGGTCTTAAAACTAATCGCACAGGCTGAGTTGGATGCGGTGGGGCAATGGCCCAAGTGTTCGAAGCGGTTGGCATGATTCGGCTATTCAAAATGCTGGATGAGGCGCTTCTAGGGAAATCGCTCGAACCGCTTCTCAAAAACAAACGGCTTCGAGCTTTGTTCGTTTGTTGCCTTCAATGGTCACCAGTCCACAGGATGCACCGTTCACTACGAGTCCTGGCAACTCTTGTCCTCGTTTCTTGTGCAGGCAACGCTGATTCAACACTCCACAAGGGTTACACCCGCCAATCGAGACTTCCTGTTGCACCCTCGCTACCCCGGAGATACAGACTGTATCTTCTGCTTGCGGTCCAAAGAGAAATGTGTCCGGATGGCCATAAAAGGAATTGGCATTGGCTAAGAGCGAAATGGACGAGGGTCAAGTGGACGAGGGTCAAGTGGACGTGGGTGAAAATGGATGAGAGCGGAACGAACGAGGGCAGCTCGGTAAAAAGGCTCCTAGAATAGAGACATCCTCTTAACAGGCTTACCTGGGAGCCTAGGTCTTCTTTCCGAGTACCAGTCCATAAGACTTAGCGTTGAGCGGAGTGAGTCATTTTAGAATGACACCTCAAAGAAAATCGGATTCCCTTACAAGGTTCAGAGCCGCTTGCTTTAGATACGAATATCGGCGAGATTCGAAGGACTTTCATATACAAAAATCGCAAATGTGAGAGTGATGAGAGCCATAGCGAGGTGTTCGCCGATTTATAAGAGATGGATTTGAGCAACAGGGGCAATGTAGATACAGAATATAAAGTACTCTGAATCTTGTAGCCCGAATTACACCGTCCTTGAGCACTACATTGAACCTCTTTCCTCATTGCACAACAGGTACCAACAGACTTCACATGGCCTACGGCAGTCAGAGAAGTGTTGAAGTATTGAAAACATGAACAGTCTGGCAACCTGAATATAGGCATCGAATAGATGCTCGTCCGCCGGATTCGAGCAAACCCACGTCCATGGCTTCCATCTTCAACAAGACGACTGCCATGGCAGCTCCGCCTGAGAGCGCACTCTACTACATCCACGCTAGACTTCCCTCAGACGTCTACGCATGCATCACCTCTGGCAGCGCTCACATCAGACCTGGACCGTCTTGCCCCCCGGATCGATATCAACGCTGATCAGATTGAGATACTCGATGGACCAACGGAATTTTACGAAAGGCTAAGAAGCAAAATAAGAAGGGCGAGGAGGAGGATATATCTCTCGACTCTATACATTGGCAAAACAGAGAATGAGCTCATTTCAACTATACGGGATGCTTTACTCCAACAGGGTTCCGAGCTCAAGGTCTCCATCCTCACAGATGCGCTACGGGGAACTCGAGAGGCCCCAAATCCCTCGTGTGCTTCATTGTTGGCCTCCTTGGTCGAGGAGTTTCCAGACCGAGTCGAGGTCCGCATGTACCATACGCCCAACTTGACGGGACTGCGCAAAGCATTGATACCGAAACGCATCAATGAGGGTTGGGGATTGCAGCATATTAAGCTGTATGGAATTGACGACGAAGTGATCCTTTCTGGGGCAAATCTTTCGAATGACTACTTTACAAACCGTCAAGATCGCTACCATGTCTTCAGTTCGAAGCGAGTCGCTGACTACTTCGCACGCATCCACGATGCTGTCTGCAGCATCAGCTTTCTGCTACGGCCAAGGGGTACCCCCTCAAAGTTCACTTTGGAATGGCCGACGTCCAGTCCAGCTCCAAACCCCCTTGAGGCTCCGAAAGGCTATATAGAAGCGGCGACCTCCCTACTCCTCCCCTTCGTGAAACCGGCCTCCTCCCAGTCGCCTCCTACAACATCTACATCCGTCTACCCTGTTATATGTCATCCACCAACAATCAACACTGAGCTCCCTGCATTCACGGCCCTTCTCGCTCGACATATTAAGTCTTACATTTTCACAGCCGGCTACTTCAATCCCCACCCAGTAATTACGTCCTCGCTTTTGGCTGCCTCTTCTCTCCCAATCTCGGCGCCAGGCTCCATCTTGACAGCTTCGCCGTACGCCAATGGATTCTTTGGCTCCAAAGGCATTTCAGGGCTTCTGCCCGCAGCATATACGCATCTCTCCCTCAGGTTTTTGCAGGCTGCACGCGGCAAGAATATTCAGCTGCGGGAATGGCAGCGCGGAATTGTGGGGCAACAGAATGGATGGACGTATCACGCGAAGGGATTATGGGTGACTCTGCAGGTGGATCTACAACAGGAGACGTCATCGAGCACTCCCAATAAGACTTCATCAGAGCTTAGTACCAATTTTGAGAGCAAGGACCCGAGCGCCCCAGCAGGTCCGAGCGTGACCCTTATCGGATCTTCTAACTACACTACACGTAGCTACGGGCTGGACCTGGAAGTTGGCGCTATAGTTGTGACAAAAGATGAAGGACTGATGCGAAAATTGAAGAGAGAAGGAGAGCTGTTGATGACCCACACGAACCTTGTGAAGGAGGAAGATCTTGAGACGAAGGAGAGGAAAGCGGGGTGGAAGGTCCGAGTGGCGATGTGGTTGGTGAAAGTATTGGGAGGTGCGCTTTGAGCGTGTGAGGGGGACGATGGTGCAAACAGGGAAGCTGTGATGGAATTGGGTATGCAGATATCAAGATCTATCGAGACCGCGGTGTTACCCTGCTTCCCGTATGTTCCTATTGTTACAGAAATACACAGCACCGAGCCCTCTCCTAATCGCCAAATGGTTCGTCAACTTATGGAAAAGGTCCAATCAGAAGAACGTGACTGACGTTCACCCTTTGTCTACCTCTGATGATCAGTTCCCGAGCTGATTGGGCGGAAGATCGGGGACGACGGAGGAGCAGAGAAAACAGCAGGGGGAGACAAAACGCAGGACACAAAAGGAGAAAGCTCTCAAATGCATAAAATTCAGACGTTGCTACAGCTCCCTTTGTGCCACTCACGTCCTACGAAGACAGCATTGAAGGGATTTCATACCACAGTGGTCGGGGTAGGCGTTTCCCCAGGGCGATAGGAACGTTGCTATCTCATGTAGATACTATTGCCATCTCTTTCCGTCTCATTCACTCCTTGCTTGATGGGTGTGCAAAACTTTTGCTCCCTGGTGATGGTCTGGATAAATACTTATGCACCTTTTACACACGGTGAAAGCATAATTCCTTGATTGCGTTGAATTCTAGCCTTCGCATTGGTACT